TGTTTGTTAAGTCCTTTGCAAGAGTGCCACTAATTCCAGCTAGGTCTCTTAGTGGTGTTATAAGAGATTTGATAGTGCTGACCTTATCCCTGAGATCAAAGGAGGTATTTACATTTGGTGTTTTCCAGTATCAGAAAAAGGCCAGGTATGGATTGCACATCTGCTTCTCAACACAGTAGTTTACACTGCTGAAGAGTCCCCGATGGGGATTCAACTCTCCCTCACCCTCTCTCCATATAAATCTGTTGGAAAGCAGATTCTAGCAGTAGAAATGCCCAATTCTGGACTAGACACCACTAAGCAGACTCTGAAGCAGAAGCAAATTTTTCCCCTCATTTTATCTCATGCTCTGCAGGTGATTGTAACATCAAGCCTAGATTGCTTGTTGGTGTTTTGCCTTTTACAGTAGTTCTGTTATGTGATTGGTACCAGATTTATTATAATTATTGTGCGTATTTACCCTTAAAAATGTGGCGTTAGAAAATTTGTGTTATAATGATAAATATTGATCTATTTTGTATGTTGTAAAAAAATTGTAGGCTTGCTAGCCATATACTACAAAAATTCCTTTACCACCTACTTTTTTTAAAATGATGATGGAAATTTGTCTGCTTTTAAGTTAATGACTGGGCAGTCTCTCATGTTGAGGGACTAATGCTTGGTCAGAGAAATTTCTTTTTTTCTTCTGGAAGAAAATTAAAATCTTATCCAGCATAACTTGCTGGAAAGAGAAGTTAAATGCACTGTGCATTTTAGGGAAGGGTATTTTTTTTTATTATTATGTTCTATATAATGTTGGCTTCCAGTAAGTATATCCTTTAGGAAGCACTGTGAAGGGGGTTCTTAAGCTTGAAATGGCAGTCAAATGGAAACTGAATACAAGAGGCATAGTGTCATACCTGCATGTTCTGGTCCAAAGCGCTGCTCTATTTCTTCTTGTTGCCTCTTGCCCACAATCCTCCCTGGGCCAAGCTATTTGGTGGTTTAATTACGTAAGTGGACAAGATATTTGTTTTTCCTTGCTAAGGCAAGAGTTTCGTACAAGATGAATTTAAACACATACATTTTCATACACATTCTGAAAACATTCAGAGAAACCATATATTTTTAGCTAGTGTTACCAAGATAAAAATCTTAATTCTCTTATAAATCAATTTCAGCAGTCTAGTGCCCCCCACCTCCCATTTGTATTGCCTGCAACATCCAATAATTCTAGTCAAGGTAATTATGTTAGTTAAAACTGATGGCAATTGTAGTTTGTTATCTGCGAGATCCATCTTAGGGGAGACTGCCTTAGGTCGATTTTGAACTTACACAGTCTCACTTGCTTAGAAAATCTTCCATTTGTATCTGGAAAACTAAATTTGTAGCCTGTCGCTCTTCATCACAGTCTTCTTTCTTACTTGCTATTGTTTTAGTGCAACCTAAATATTAGGATATGTTTTACACTATTATCCTACCTGTATTTTAGGACAAAGTATATACTTTCATTCTTCACAGTGTATCTGATCTTTTCTCAAGATCTGAAATGATCAAAATATCAGTTCAGTAATATCTAGTTTCTTTAATTGACCCAAGAATTTTTAAAAGTTTTATCTTTCTGATTTCTTGAGGCAGTTCTATAGTTTTATATTGTATATCAACAAGCCCATACAATGAAGATATGTACAAGAGATACACAGTGATGCTGTGAAGGCTAATTCATCTGCCAGTACAAAAACAGGAACCATTGCAAAGAACTATGTGTCATGCTATCCTGTAATTATAAGTTTGAGATATAAACATGAGTTTTAAGAATTGGGATTTTCTCTTATTTTTGATGGTTTAGGAAAAGGTCTTTGTAGCTTTTTAACTCCCCATAGGTAGCAGATTTAATGCAGCCCTTCTTGTTGAAATATATCAACCTTTCACTCCAACTGTGCAAATATGCCAAGGAAAAGGCTTTTATAAGGGGTGTAATGTTTATGTTGTTTAACAGCAAATGCTTCAACCTTCATTCATGGTGCCTTATCTTTAAATGGCTCCCAATGGAGTTTTGTGTCTGTGTGCGTGCATTCAAATTTGGATACTGCAAGCTTCATGCATGCTATGCCCTCTCTTACTGTCTGCTCAACAGTTTCATTTCTATTTACTGCAAAAACACTACTAAGTAATTCCTGTAGTTTCAAGACCCAGAATTTGAGTCTGTTGCATTGCTGCTTTGGTTTTAGATCTGATCTTTCCTTTTCATACAAAATGTCTTTTTGGAGTCTTTTCTTTGCAAGTGTTTCAAGTAAATTTGTTTAGGTTGTTGGCGGTGAAAGAATTTTTGAGTCCATTGCAAGGGCACATGTGGACTTGTTTTAAAGAAAAAAAATCTTATTGAGACTTGCATGTAATATTTTCATAATTTTATTGCCCTGATTAAATAACTGAGAACTCTCTTGATGTGGCATTAGGAGGAATTTCATTTTTAAGTCATTTTGATAATTTTCACATTAAACAGTCAAATACTTCACATTCACCTAAGACTGTGACATATGATAAGCATACTATAGATCAATGTTTCTCAACCTTGGTAAAGATATGTGGACTTCAGCTCTCAGAACGCCTCTGGCTGGCTGGGAATTGGAATCCATATCTTCAAATTGCCAGGATTGAGAAATAATGATACAGGTAATTTGCCTACATTACTGTATCAACAGGAGGGATGACTGTACAACTTCCTCACAAAGTTAGAACAATGCTCATTTGGGTGAATGGATAATGCTCCCAGTACAATATAATTACATAGCTCTGAATGGGAAGATCATTCCTTCTTTTTCTTCAATCTGTACCATTAATCAGCATCTTTAGTTTTAACATGCAGATCAATCATGTTCCCTACAGTTGAGATGAGAATAGCCTGTGAAGATAGCATATGCTGAAAGGCTGGTTTCGGGGGAGGAGAAAAGTATACTACTTTTATTCCCTAGTGGCTATGTTTGATAATGCCTCTTTTAATATTTCACTACTTCATAAGACGCTGTATCTGAACCACAGGAAGTGGTGCTGTCTCTTATTAAATTGTAGCTGCATTGACTGATGCAGAAGTGAGTCTGTGTCCATGATCTAATAAATTAATCAAATACAAATACTGTTTCTGCAATTTGTTCTCTGTTTAAGCACATATCACACTGAATATGTCAAGTATTTTTTTATTTATTGGCTTAGTGCTATTAGAGATTTCAAAAAGCAGTTCCCAAGAAATTCATATGACCTGCCTTTGGAGACTTTTGAGGAAACAAATAAGAGCAAAGTAAGAATTATTTGCAGTGACCAATTTCTAATATAATCTATTCTACACAATACAATTTCTGCTATGGTATATTTAATTTTATTTTCATTTATTATTCTGATTGCATTGTCAAAATGCAGGTAGGCCAAGACTCCCCTTTTCCTCCTGCCCCCCTTTTTTGAAGAAAAAAAAATGCTATAGGAAAGGAAGTGATAACTTCCTTTATTGTATAGATATTCCTCAATTACCTTCTGCCTCATTCAGTGACCATTCTAACTTATAATGGTGCTGAAAAAAGCATCGCATGGTTATCTGATTGCCACTTGTAGCATTTCCAGTCAGCTTCTGCCCAGCAAAATCAGCTAGGAAGTCAGCAGGAAATTGCAAGTTGTGGAGATGGGATATCATGCTTAATGATTGCAGGTGGTTTGCTTAACAATTGAAGTAAAACTGATGTTCGTAGGTTGTGATTATGTGATGTTTCACTTAACAGTGCTGCTTAATGATGAGACTATTGGTTTCAGTTATGACTTTTACATGAGGACTACCTATACAATGAATTTCCCAATGGTACCCATATTAAAAATATTTTCAGAAGTACTTTGATACATCTGGAAGAGAAAGACTTGTATATTTTTAAAATCCTATTTGTTTCCTATCAAACTCTGGCAGGTATCCAGATTAAGACAGTAGCGCTTGCTACTCTAAAATTTGAATTCTTCTTTAATCTGAAAATAGATTTATGTAGCCTATGGAACTCGTGTATCAAATCAGGCAATTGGTGAAAATGGCAGTTATGCTGTTACATTTGAAAGATGATAAAAGGGTGAAATGTATACAGATACACCAGCCAAGAATTATATGTTGTTAAAAGTCGTGTCATCAATTTAGTTCTTCTCAAATGCTTTGGACTACAGCTATCATAATAAATTCACCAGTTTGCTCGCATATTGTATGGAAATCATAGTTCTAAACATCTAGAGAGCATTGTCTCTGCTCTGCATTTTTTTCTTCCAATTGAAAACATTCGATAGTTTTCGCTGCCTTCCAGACATTTGCACTGCAATTTATAAAATTCAAAACCCGCTAAAATTTAGCTCCTATGGCTTGTATGAGCATTCTCTTTCCCGCTAGAAAAAAAAATGCGCAGAGCGCGCTATTTTTTGACTAATCGAAGCTGGTTCCCTTTTATTTTGCAGCAAGGTTCGATGGGAATTGTAGTCCTAGTTGCTAAAGTGGCATTCAGTAAAAGGCTGCTTGTTTCTGCTATCTTAACCGGGAAAGAAGATCCTCCCTGAGATGCTGTACTGCCCTATTTTTATTTTTATTTTTAATGTGGAAAAAAAAAGGGAGGGGGGGACAAGTTTTAGCGGCAAGAAGAGAGTGGCGTAGAAGGGGCAGGGCCAATGGAAATGGGTGTTCGGCGCGAAGAGTGGCGATTGGCTGGCAAGGAGCGGCACCGCTCGGGTCGAACCAATCGGCAGGACCGAGCGGCTAGAGCGCGCGCGGAGAAATTCCGCCAGTCAGTCTTGGGAGAGGAGAGCGAGCGACGAGTGCGATCCGGTGTCCTAACTCGACAAACTTCCAAGAATTCGGTTTACGGTGGGTGCTGGATCTCGGGCTCGGTCGGGAAAGGGCCCTATAGAGACTGAGGAGGGGAACTTTCTGTAAGCGGGAAAGAATCGGCAGGAATTGAAACCTGAACATGCTGCCAGCGTCTCCCCCTCCCCCCCCCTATATTGGACTGTAATCTCCGTTTCATTGTAGCAATTTTTAAAATACTGGCCGTGGGGGATAATTCTGTCAGAAAAGATAGGAGTTGTGGTAGAATGGGAAGAGCATAAGTCGGGGGAGACCGCGCTAAGGAACACGCGCCATTAAAGCCTCTACCTTTCTCGGTAAACGCATGGCAGTAGATCTGCGCTTCCCTTCCGTCAAGTGGCAGCGATTCGTGGAGGGGATCCAAAATATATAGATGATAAAGATACAGATATCATGTCGTAGGAAGAGGCCGGCTGCCCGTTCCCTCATGCAACTCCTTCCATGAAAAAGTAAGCCAGCCTTACTTATCTTGATGTCTTCAGGGCACGTTGTTGCAACATCCGAGGAAAAGGCCATGTTGGGGGTTGTAATCCGGAGAGCACGAATGTTAAAACTGCCCAACAGCCAAAGCTCTCTGGATTTACTGTAAAACACTAAAATAATGCAGTTTGAACAAGAATGCGTACCATAAAATTCAAAACATGGGCATAGCGTGGAAAAATAAAAAGGCCTTCATCTGATGCAAACAAAATGATGCCAATGTGTATGTCACTTGAACTATTGGAAGGAAATTCCATAAATTGGTTGCTACCACAGAAAAAACTGTCCTCCCTTTAAAGGCCCACCTCATTTCCTTTGGGAAAGAGCTTCATTTAATGATTGTAATGTCTCTGTAAAAAAAATATTGGAGGGTTGAGAGTTTTAAACGTTTATTTTGAAAGTCCATGTGTTAGTATCTAGGACCATTATGAAGCCAAACTGCTATTTCAATGCTTTAAAGCTAAGAATTAAAATGGGAGAACTTTTTCTTACTATTTTTCATTTAGCTCATGCTGTCCACTAGTGGATACCTTTATATTAAACCTCAGTATTTGGAAGTATTTCAACACTAGAGCTTGAACCAGCAAATGGGACATGTTATGCATCTTTGTAACATTTGATAGATTCAATAAGTTGGCATCTATCGAAATGTAAAGCTAGGATGAGTGCATGTTTTATGATAATGTTTAGGATTTTATTACATTTAACAAGTGTACAAAGGAAGTAAGGAATAAGGGAAGGATAAGTACACAAGGGATGAAGAATCAAACTTTGGGTGCAGAATAAGTATAATTAAACTTGAGAACCAAGATACACTCAGAAGAGTGGGATAATAAAACAGATCCCCACAACTCATGCAAAAATCCCTGGTGGATATATATCAATGGGCTTTTACCAGATTGGAAATGGTTGGTCACTGTTTCCTAGGATTGTTTTTCAATTTCTCAGCCTACTCTTGAGGTTTCATTCTGGTCTCCCTTTCAAGTATTAGGCAGGCTTGACACTTCTCTGAAATCAGACAAGTTTGATTAATGCTGCTACTTAACTGAGCAATACTGTGGAATACTTAATAAACCGCTTAGAGAGGCCTGAAAGGCCTATGAAGCGGTATATAAGTCTACTGCTATTGCTATTGCTATTGCTATTAATAGTGAATATTATTAAGAAAATTGTGTAATTTTAAATTGGTATGGAGCCCTGACTGGGAAGGTTTTTGCTGTCCCTATTGGGGAGGGAATATTCTATGCTTTAATCCATTTTGATTTTGTTGATGTAGGAAAAGAAGTATATGCAGGGAAAGAATACTTGGTCTAGCTAGCTTATAGAGCGTTTGTGGAGTATTAGAGATTTCTAGAGAACACTTTGCTTAGTTTGAATATTTATTATTATTATTTTCTATGTTTGGTTCTAGTATGTCCATCATGCCGAGTACCAGGTCACAGTCCCAGAGCCAGAAGATTATAGACTTTCCAAAGCGAAAATCAGTCAGGATACTTCAGAAATCATTAGAGAATAAGAAGGGTTCCCATTTAGATGCAGCAATATTGCCAACCTCTTTGCCATCTTCCCCAAAACAGGTCTTACCTCTCAGTCCCCGCAAACGCCTAGGTAAGTTTTTTCCCCTTATGCCTCCCAAATATCTTAGCATAATGTTGAATATCAGCATGTGTAGATCATTTTCTTTACAATTAAAATAATAGAAAGGGTTGACAAACTACAGGTAATCCTCGACTTGCAACAGAGCATTTAGTGATTGCGGCAGTGAAAAGAAGTGACTTACAACCATTTTTTACACTTATAACTGCTGCAGCATCCCCACAGTCACATAAATTACCTTTGGATGCTTGAGAACTGGGTCATATTTATGATGCTTACAGATCCTGGGATCATGTGATCCCCCTTTTGCAACCTTGTTACAAGCAAATTCAATGGGGAAACCAGATTCACTTAACAACCATGTTACTCAATAGCTGCAGTGATTCACTGAACAAATGTGACAAGAAAAGTCGTAAAATGGGGCAAAGCTCATTTAACAAATTTCTCACTTAGCAACATAATTTTTGTGCTCAATTGTGGTTGTAAGTCAAGGACTATATGTAATTGCTTATAAATAGAAAATTTCCAAAATATATGAACCCAAAATAGCCAGAGTTGACTATTGAAAAAATACTATGATTTGAGCAAGTCGAATGGGGAGATTAGACAAATTAAGCTTTTCTGTTTGATTCTTTGGCATTCTAATTCTGTAAAAGCACGGGCTATGACACAATTATTGTGAGGAATGTTAGGTCTCGTACTGTGTATAGATTTAAGCACATAACAAATAAAAATGCTAAATATTATCCTCTGAATAATGTTTGCAACTATTAAGATTTGTTAGATTTATGTTTGATTTTTCCTCCTGGAGTTTAAGTCTGTATGAATAGCTCCCACCTCCATCTTCCCCTACCATAATAACCCTGCTAGGTAGGCTGGACGGAGAGGAGGATACTAGCCCAAAAATACTAAGTGAATTTTTGTGATTGAGGGTTAAGTTGAACCTGCATCTCCCATGTCCTAGTCCAGTATCCCAATGATTATAACAGAATAGCTTGCCCTGCTTTGTTACCCAACTAAAAATTAGCTTTGTTATCCAACTAAAAATTAGAGAACTAATTTATACAAAATGAATTAATAAATCTCTTGGACAATACTGGAGAAAATTAGTTGTAATGACATTTCTGTGAATAGATATATTTACAAAGAACCAAGTTTCAACTTTTTTAAAATTACAAATTCAAGTGTTTTGAACTTCACTATTGCAAGAGATGACCAACTAATGAATTAATAAGAGTGAATCATTAAAAAGTTCACAACAGAAGGTTTCCTCGGAGCTCCGTCATATTCTCTGAGATTGTACTATTTTAAAAAGATAACCTCAAAATGAGACTTTGAATAAAAGGTCAACTTTTTAAAGAAGTATCTTTGTGTAAATGTATGAATTTCACCTACATTTTTCTTAAAATTTATTTTCTGTACTGTCTCTTTGTTTCTTCTAGGTGATGATAATCTTTGCAATGTTGCCCACTTATTACCTTGTACCCCAACTAAGCAGAGTAAAAAAGAAAACAGCTTTCCAGCAACTTCCCCCAGGGCCCAGACTTTACTCTTCGGTGAACATTCAGGCTCCAGGACTCCCACCAAGTTCAGCAGTTTGGTTCAGTCTCCAGTACAAAGGAGCCAAGAAACACCTACTAGTATGAAGTGTTACTCTCTTAAAAAAGAGCGAGTACGAACTCAGCTGTTTAAGCCAGAAGGTATGTAAGAATGATAGGACCTATTGCTTCAATCTGTCTTTTGCAAGGAACTTCAATATTTTAAAAAAATCATTCCGTTCTATATTATTTTATTTCTTTATTTAGTCATTCCATTTATACAGCTGCCTATCTCAAGAAAGCGACTTGCGGCGGTTAACAACAATTTAAAAAACAGCAAAACTCAACAGAAGTAGTTAATCACCCACTATGGTAGAAGCAAAAATAAAAAAGCATCAAAACAAATTCAATGTAAAAGTTTTACAAAAATAAATATAATATTTATATTTGCATATTATTTCTGTTATTGTATAGAATGGAAAGACTAAGCGTGACTCTTGTCACAAGTAAATGAAATTCTAAGGTGATTTTATTTAGGAACCATACTGTGAAAAAGTTTTGAATTTCTGTTAAAAATAGCATCACAAATTATAGTTAACTGAATTCATTTGACCTTCAGATTTTGTTCTGGATATGATTGTTAGAATACTTGAAATAAGGTTAACCATCCTTAGTCATCAATAATGAGTTCTTAGAGGACATTCCATTAACATATGCCAAAGCATTGGGTGCTTCTAAAATGATATTTCTAAATTTTGTTTGAATTGGCTGATGAAAAATGATGATTTTTTTAACCTATAGCCAATTATCATTTTGCTTTTCCTCATCAAATGTTTTATGACACCTGTGTGGCCCTTAGCATTCTTCAGAAAAATAAAAAAGGATGAAAGTCCTCTACCTTCCAGGTAACTCAACCAAAAATAACAAGCAAGGAACTATTATGAAAATAGTAACAAAAATATACTTTCCCAAGGTAAAATGGGTAGATTACTTTGAAAGGTTGAAACTGGGAAGCCAGTGAATTAAAACTAAAAGAAAATGAGTGAGGAGCAACTCTAGGATGGAAAAACGGATTATGTATATAATGGACAAATTAGAAGTGGTTATATATGTGCATGGAGTGGTGAGTGAAAAAAGAAATAGGTTATTAGAATAGGAGTTGTTTTGCGAGGATAGACTTTTAGAACTTTAAATTAGTAAGGTTACTGGGGTTCTGTATGGAAGAATACAATTTAATATTAACCTTCCTATTTATAAAAAGTACTAGAAAAAAATTGAAAATACTATTTGGAGATTTGCCAAATAGTTTGCCTTTCAATGGAAAGGACATTTTGATAAGGTAAAGAATATTTAATGTATAAACATATCTTCTTAGTTATTTTCTAACACATTTTCTTAAAAATACATTGTGATGTTGTAATAATAACTCGTGTGATTTTTTCCCCCCTGTCATGTCATCATGGTAGCCATTTTATTTTGATGTTTAACAAGCATTCCCCAAATTCATAATGTATCCACAAGCCCTAAATTTCCTGCACCAAAAGTTAGAATAAATTTACTGGGCATGCAATTGATTTTTCCTCTTCATTGATCATATTTATTTATAGAATCATGTGTCACTGATCTTACAGCTACAGACAGTGTTAGAAAGTCAACATAATATGTTAACAGTATCAAACAAACAAAATGTACTGCAATATTTGTCTTGCTTAATCTGATAAGAATTGAGCAACCTATTTCATTATTAACAGGAACTCAGTTAAAAGTATATACAGCTAATTTAATAGAAAACTTTACCTGCTATAATTTCTTTTTCTAGAAATCATAATACCTTCAACTACTGTGCCAAGACATGTTTTTGTCTTATGACAGCTGTTTGTTTTAATACAGGCACCTATTATCAACAGGCAAAGAGTCTTCTTCATACAGCTGTTCCAGACCAATTGCTTGCAAGGGAAAAAGAAACAGGTATCCTGCAAGGATTCCTCCTGGAACATGTCTGCAGGAAGAAGCCTGGAAGCCTTTATATATCTGGACCTCCTGGCACTGGGAAAACTGCTTGCCTCAACAGAGCTTTGCTTGATTTGAAGGTAACTGCTGGATTTGACCAAGGGTATTAAGATCAACATGATATGAGACCCTGGTTTGGCTGGTAATGTGAGGATACACTATATTTTATTTTAATTTTGTTCTTAACTCAGTTTTAACTCTGCTGTATGCGTGTGTTTATACCTCTTTTTATGTTTTATTCTAAACTGCCCAGAGTCACTTAGATGCGATACTCAATGGGTGTGATTGATAGATAAGCAGGCAGGCAGACATAGGCCCTTGCTCAACAGTTCAGGCTAACAGGTGTAGTGTCTCTACAAATGGTCCTTGACTTACTACCATTATTTTGAGACCATTTGCAGCATCCCCATGGTTACATGATCAAAATTCAGACATTTGGCATCTATTTATGACAGTTGCCATATCCTGGCATCATGTGATCACCTTTTGCAACCTTCTGACAAGCAAAATCAAAGCCACATCCACTTAGCAAACATGTTATTAACTTAATTTCATTGATTCACTTAACTGGCAAGAAAAGTCATAAAAGGGGGTAAAATTCATTTAATAACTGGCTTGCTTAGCATTGGAAATTTTTGGCACAATTGTGGTCATATGTTAAAGATTAACTATAGGATTGCAACATGCATTCCATTCAAACTGGAGGATTAGTAGTGAAAGTTAATATCTCTTCCTCCATGAATATAATCTTAGAATAGAGATCTTATTTTTTGCTGTTGTGATGATAAAAGGAAAATGATCTTAACATCAATTCTTGCCTTGAACCTGTTTTATTGTTAATAATAGGGAAACAATCATTTATTCTTTGCCTCCCCATCTAATATCTAGGAACTGAAAAAAGGCTCCCTGGACTTTGCCAGTCATCCAAAGAGCAAAAATCATGTGTAACTTGTTGGCTTTGGTAGTATGGTTGTATAGGATCATAGGGTTCTTGGAGATCTTCCAGTCCAACACCCTCCCAAGACAGCAGTCCTTATTTTATCCAGACAAATGGTTGTCCAATCTTTTCTTCAAATCATCCAGCAATGGGGCACCCATAACTTTGGGTGGCAAGCTATTCCATTGATTAATACTTTAAAATAATATATTCTAGAATAAATTGCATTCTAAATTCATTTTCTATTTATATAATATAGAATATTATATTAAATATATAAATTATATAAATATAATTTAAATATTTAATTATATTACATAGAATAACTTAATATTTTAAATTCATTTTCTGTTTGAGCCTCAGATAAATTGTATTGATTTGTCATGAACAGGAATAAAATATATGTATTGCCTATTTAATGTAATATAGGAATTTTTATGGCTTGTCACATTTTCCTTTCTCTTCTGGGAAGGCTGAGCCCTCCCTCCTGGGGTGGGTGGATGCCCGCCAGCCTCTGCCCACTTCTCACCACTGCTGTCCACCCCCTCCTATCCTGTAGGTGCTGCGCCGCCTCCTTGCTAGCTGGTAGGGAACGCAGTGGCATTGGAGCCTTCCCTGGGCTGAGCAAGGAGACTCCTAGAGGTCGGTCAGCGCCATCATGCTGGGGGGGGGGGAAAGGGGTGCACCCTGTCTACTCAGCTCTTACCAGCCAGAGGTGGGGCTCCACGCCAGTTTGTCCCAGCTGCAGCACCACATTTATTTGTTTGCTGCTGGCCACTTCCGAGGAGAGAGCTGCCCTTGGGCCTCCCAGGCCCCTGCCCTGGGGGCGGTGAGGAAGAGAGAAGGGGGGGGGGTGTCTCTCCAACAGGATCTGGGTTGGAGTTGCTTTATTTTGCATGGATCTCCTACGCTTGACTTTGTCTGCCAGTCTCCACTCCCCCTCCACAGCCAATTCACACGACATGTGAAGCTCAGGAGAGCATGGATGGATGGATGGATGGATGGATAGATAGATAGATAGATAGATGATAGATAGATAGATAGATAGATAGATAGATAGATGGATAGATTTTTTTTATATATATAATATAATATAATATACTTAAAGTCACAACCCCTGGTATGCCCAAGTATGGGAGGAAGGTCACACTTCCACTCTCTGTCATTAGGCTCGTCACAAGAGACCATCCAGACAGAAACCCAATATTTTTTACTGTTGCCTTTTTGTTACATTTGCTATATTTATGCTGATAAATAAATAAAGGGAGACTAGTATAGATCTATTTCAAGCTATTTAGCTCTCATCAGCTAGCCATACCCAAGTTGGGAATCGAACCTGTGCTCTATTGCCTCCCAGGCAGGGAGTTAACCATTTGAGCTACAAAGAACGATAATATAATATAATATATATATATATATATATATACCTTTTTCCCATAGAAAAGACCGAGACCTATAAAATCTGGGTAGCTGTGGTGGGGTGTGTATCATGTGACTGGGTGGGAGTGAGTGATGTTGAGTTGGCCACATCCACCCAGGTTTTGTGGCTCCCGGTATTTTATTTTCTGTGGGAAATGGGTCCAAATGGCTGTTTGAATGTCTAAGGTTGCAGACTCTAAGTGGTGATCAAATTTTCACATTTTCCTTATAGACAGAACTTACTGGAATTCAGATCACAGTCTTAAATTGCATGGCTTTAAGGAGCTCCCAAGATGTCTTCCCAGCAATTGCCGAAAAGTTGGGCCTGGCTGGAGTTGCCAAAGCAGCCAAAGGTGATGTCATCAGAAAGCTGGAGAAATGGTTGACATCAAAAAGTGCATCGATGGCGTGAGTAGATTTCTTATGGGAGAAGTTTGCTTTTTTAATTTAGTCATCCATTGGAAATAGGGATGGGATTAATCACAAATTTATGCTGTGTATGAAAAAAACAGCATGTTTGATTGTTTTGAAACTCTTAATTTGCAGTATAGGAAAGCATCACAGAATCCCTGTCTGCTTCACAGAAAAAAGTAACTCGCCAAACTCCAATGAGCAAGGGGCATTTTCTCACTAAAAGTTGAGTCGTTTGGCTAATAATAATTTGAATGTTTTGGAGTTAGAGCAATCTTTGCAGGAGAATTACATATATTTCCTATTGTGTTCTCCTTATAATTCCTCCCTATAAATATATTTAGGTATTTAAGTATGTTCAAGATTTAATAAACAGAACCATTGAAATTGGATTTTATTTCTCAGATTAAGCCATTTGACAGCATTATTAGTGATAACAATACTATCTAGGAAAATCATTGTAGAAATAAATGTTGATCTAATAATGGGCATTATTATTGTTATTATTTACTTTATTCATTAAACATGAAATTCAGTCAACTGAACATTCAAAAGTGCATCACAAATGCCATTACCTAGTGCTAATAGTTGATATGGGTTGCTGCCAGCATCCTAGGTATCAACCAAGTACCTTCTTAAGATGTACAATATTCCAAACAGTGCAGTTTTTTTGCAGTTCCGCTGATGTTATTGCAGGAAGCTGCAGTTACTTAATATTTTTATAAAATTATTGGACATGATGAAAATCAGTATCACTGATTATTATTATTATTATTGTCATCATCATTCTCAAGTAGGCTGATTGGTACTTGGGAGAGTTGTCCAACCCACAGATTCTATGTATTTTGACCAGATCATTTGAAGGTATGAATTTATTTTCAGGACTATATCTAAGCCTCAAATCATTCTGGGGCTTGGCCTAGTTGAACTTTTATTTTTGTATATGTTTTAAATGCATATTGCTGTTCTAGTTAATTTTGAAAAATATACTGACCCAGATTTTTTAGGACCAGTTTTTAAAATAGTTTTGGAGAGAGTATAATTCCAAGATGGGAGAAATAATTGTTTCTTATATAATTGAAAATACAATCTTCAATGTATGAGTTTGAGAGAATGACTTCTTTGGAAATGAATTTATTAAAATGCTGGGGATGGCATAAAATAAAGGGATCAATTAAAATATGCCATGAGCTAAGAAACAAGCAAAAATTATACAATTAAATTCATATTATACAATTAAATAGCTAGGATTATACAGCATTGAAAATCTACGAATTGCCTTTAGCATAATTCTGAAAGGGATTATGAAAAATAAAATATGACCTTTCTTAGAAGAGACTTCCACAATATGGGTCATATTGCTGAAGAGGTCTTTTCTCACATAACCTATAACCATAATTTTTAGATGGGGGGTTAGAAATAGTTGCCTTTTTAACCACATTGTTGGTTTGTTTAGCACCTCATTACAAGAAAGGTTTTCGCCCTGCCTTTGAAAAAATGTGATGAATGTTTCTAAATGTAGTCACTATTCTTTAAAACATTTTTCTTCTACTTTACCTAGAGATGCCAAGGACCCAATAGTAGGTTGTTGGAGCAAATTCATTGCTCCACTTTTTATGCTATAAAAACATATTTCTGAAAGCAACTTAACTGCAACATTATATGCCAGCTACAGTTTTGAATACTTATGAGGGTCACAGTGTTAAGTGATGTAAATAAGAGGTAATTAAAACACACATCACAGTGAAAGCACAGATGCTGCAACTATTGAAAATGGGGCTGGGCAGAGGCATTCTTGACCATTGCCAACCGTCTGACCTTTCAGGATCAGTGCCAGTTGGAAGAGCACCACTAGCTAATTATTTTCCAAGTGCATCAAACTTATTGAAAAATCAAAGAGTGAAGTTCTGTTCCAGAGGAAGATATTTGGGATCAGCCATGGCAGCTATCCATTTCCCCACCCACATATCAGTCACGAGAACTTCCAGCACCAATAGCTAGAAAATTGTCCAGAGCATTCACAAATTTCTGCTAAAGCCACTAATCTCCAAACAGACCAAATTAGTGGTCCACCAGTGTGGAGATTTTATGTATCAATAAATGTAAGCATTGTTAATAATGCTCATGTAAAATCATTTTCACCACAGACTGTTAATCAAGTTGAAACTAAACATTGAATCAGGTCTTGACTCTGAAAACACACTGGGTTGTATATGAACTAATACAAGACAATTTTTTGCTTGAAAACAATGAATTCTTGAATTATATCAAATGGTATTACCTTAGTTCGAATTTTCCCCAAAACAAGGAACTTAGAGTGATGACTTTTGAGGCAGACTATAACAATTCAGGCAAGAAGCTAGTGAATCAGAGGGTTCACGATATTTAACCTGTTGGCCAGACAGCATTTCAATACTATAGAATGGATTTATGATAATCTACCACAACTGCACCTTTCTTCCCACTTAATATTGTATTTTATTATCCCTGAAAGCCTAGTGAATGTAATTAGCCAATTCCTCTGCCCTTATATAACCATATTTTATTTAAATGACAACTCAGTTTCTTTATCCAGAATGAAGTCTAAGAGTACAATATATTTTAATTGATATTAAGCAGCAACATTTTATGATCTAGTGGAGTTTCCCTAGAATATTTATGCATCCATGGGCTTACATACTAAGCTACCGGTATGTGCTTTTTTTTAAAAAAAGCACATTTTATTCCATGTTCTGGTATTTGGGAATCTTTTAAGTGTTATATCATTTCAGTTCACTCATTGTCTAAAGGAACTGCCTGCAGCTAAAGTATATTTTGTTTAAAAAATTTTTTGAATGTTTTATTCTCTACTTATGTGTTACATTTGCATATTCTTTTCTCCGGGAAGGTAGTATTCAGTCTTGATGTTTTTTCATCCCTGCAGTTTGGTTGTATTAGATGAGATGGACCAGTTGGATAGTAAGGGACAAGATGTTCTCTATACCGTATTTGAATGGCCTTCCCTTCCCAACTCTCGGCTCGTTCTCATTGGTGAGTATCAGAGATGTTAAAGCTTTAGCTTGATAGTTTAAGAGGAAGAGTGTTAATATACTTTTGCAAGAAAATACCTATCTGAGTGCTGGGTATTTTCCAAGTCTAATTTTGTCCACTATTGATTTCAACGCCTTTCATCTGCTACTTATCCATGTTGACTGTTACCTAGATGTGCTCTTGCCACCTTCCTTCTCAACTATCAGAAGGAAAAGAAAGAAGTATATTTAAGTTAGAAGCAGAAAGTAGAAGATTTTCAGAGAATGTGGATCTTTGATTATATTCTAGCTCTCTCGTTTAGAGTTGTGCATTTCCACTGATCTGCTAAGTAGAAGAATCTTTAATTAATTGCTTATCTGAAAAATATATAACATTCTAAGGGAAATCAGAAGTAACTAGGCCAGTCCTCTAAGCAGCATGTAGGACCATCCATCCAAGGCTAAATTTAACAAACTTTTCATTGTGCAAAATAACAAGCACAAAGTGGGGTGCTCAGAAAATATGAAATACTTTCCTTCTGAATTTACTTGTACATTTACTTAGAACCAGTAAAGATGGCATTAGAGGTGAGTTGTACATAGTTCACAATGTCAGATACAAGATAAGTACTGTAAAAGTATAGTTGCCCCAAGGTTTTAAAAGAAAGATTAATTCAATTCTTAGAGAAACTATGGATAAGATGGAATGTTTGTTTGCGGTATATAAAAGAGGTTTGTTGTTTGATAGGTATAGCTAATGCTCTGGATCTCACCGATCGCATCCTGCCTCGCCTGCAGACCCGACCTTTGTGCAAACCACAGCTACTAAACTTTCCCCCATACAGCAAAGATCAGCTGGCTTCTATTCTCCAGGAACGCTTGAAAAAGGTAATATCTCGGCCTGATTCAAAAATTAACTGCCTTGGCCCTAAGCAACTTAAAGAAGGAATAGGCTACATTTATCTTCGATTTCATTTGGAGAACTGTTTTGAATTTGAATTTCTCAGCATCCACTGCTTTAGGAGCTCCTTCAGTTTCTGTGCAACTAAGAACAAATTGGTTAATTTGTTGGGCTAATCCCTAATGGCAAAATGTAAGATAGGAAGTTAAATGATTAAGGATATTAATTTGAGCAGAATGAGAGGTTTTGAACTAAGTACAAGAATTGCCGAGATCATGTCTTTTTTTTTCCTCCAAAAATGTAGGGCACCATTATTTTTGTTACCATGTTTTCTCTTCTTTATTCCTTTAGGTGTCAGGGGAGCAGGTGTTGGACAATGCTGCTATCCAGTTCTGTGCTAGAAAAGTCTCAGCCTTCTCTGGGGATGCCCGCAAAGCACTGGACATCTGCAGGTGACAAATATATAGTGAACTAAATTCTAAGCTAATTACTAGATGTGGAACGTGATTTAAAGCTTCATTATGGTGTTTGGTCTCCCTGCCTGAGAAGGAGGGAGGGGAGACAGAACCCTCCTGTCTTTGTGGTGATAGGGGAGGGTGGTGCCTCCTGGCTGTGCTAATGTCTGGAAATGTTTACAGCCCATTACCTATGAAGGGTGAGAGGAATTGGTCCTCCTGCAGCGATTATAGATTGGTTAATTACATTTAGATTGCAAAAGGCTCTCATTAACAGCTCTCAAGCAGACATCTTTATGGTGCTTGGAAATGTTATCTTTTCCCACACAAGAGAGTTTATTAGCGTTGTCTTCCATCTTCCTTGGTCTCAGTTAGACATTCGCATGGTGTCCCCTTTTATGTTTACTCAAATGTAGAGCACATAGACTTGCTTTAGTAATGTATGCATTTACTTATATCAGTCAGTTTAGAAATTGGTCCAAATGATTCTGGTTGGCCTACAGTTAAAAAAGTAAGAGCATTACAATTTTTAAAAATTATAGGTCTCCTGAAAGGGCTTGACCATCAACTTATCTCTAGGCCCAGGAGAAGAGCTAAATCTTCAATAACTTTGAAGATCTAAATAATTCTAGGTCATTAGGGTAGGAGCAATGTGGATTTTAGTGGGAATATTACAGCATAGAACAACAATAGAGATTTCACACAGGCAAAGAAAAAAAGCTAGCTGTCACCTGGAGAGAATTCCAAGATCTTTGCATTAGGGTTTAGATATTTATAGCATTTGAAAAGAACAGAAAGCATATTATATGTTAACCTAATAAGCAAAAACCACATGCAGATTAATCCAGATTATGGGAAAAGAACAGAAGCAAAGAATGTGTGCTATGGTGCCCTTCCAAGAGGGCCAGGAGAACAGATGACTGTCTTGAGTAAGGCAAACTGCTGGAATATCATTGGTCTGCTGTTATCCCTTTATCTTTATAGGTAAAATGTCCTCTTGACCTCTAACAGTAAGAGTCAAAATGTAAAGTGGTCTGGTGTCTGGTGCTGTATCCTACAGCTTGTGTTTTCATCCTGAAAAAAATTGTTGAAATATGCTAGGCAAATAAATATTACTATGTTTCTCTTTCATATGTTTCATTATTGATCCTGCCCCTTCTTTTCTTTTGCTAGCCTCTGAGCTATGCAAATCATTTTGAACTCCATTAGATATCTACCTTTATAATCCTTGAGGAGATTTTAATCTATAAGACCTTTATAATTTAATTTCCTGATGCATCATTTTCATGCAGAAGATTCTTGTAGGAATTTTTCTTTAACTGGATTATATTTTATTTCTCTTAGTTAAAAACTACAGCAATAAACATAAAATAGTTTACACATAGGATCTAGAGGAAGAAATGATCATAATAGTAATAATACTAATGCAAAATCAGTATTAAAAGTTAATTGGTCCTAAAGCAGTCTTTAGAAGAAGTAGAAATACAATTAAAGTTTATATGATACCAATTCATTGAAAGACAGTTGATGCTCATCTGCCTGATAGGCACTTGAGTTAAATGAATGCTTTCAGAGCAATCTTGGTACATTGAAGAAGACTATTCTAAAGCTTTACATGTTCTTTCTAATTGAGAGAAAGATACGTTGTCTGCTTAATTTGCTTTTTTAATTGAGGGCGTTATGTTTTATTTTTGGCATTTGTTCGGTCACCACCATTTCATTTGTTTTATTTAGCTATATGATTGTACATTGTTAGAAAAAAATACTTAATTTTATTAAACAAATTAATTGATGAGATTATTTTGTGCCTTTAATCATACCTGGTTCAAAATAACTTTTGTTCTAAAATTGCCAACCAACTTTTGGATCTGAAACATAAGCTTTGGTTTAGCTATGAGTAGATGTCAGCTTATACATAGATTAAGTCCCGATTCCATCCACCCATGTGCTGCCCAGATTAGACATAGGTTAGCACAGAGGGTCAAAATTTGCCTCTGGCACTGCTTCCAATATAACAAATAGAGCATTCATCTCATTAACATGCAAGATAGTAATGAAATCCCATTAATGGGCCATGCATGCTATACTAGATCTTCTTTCATTATAGCATGCTTGCACAGTTTCTCCCTTGTGACTTGAGAGCTGCTTTAGAGTATTGGGGTGAAAAGGCAAGATCAGGAAGTGGTATAAGTAGAATAACATTCACTGCGAGAAGGCTAGGCTGGTGTAGATTTCTTGTACCAATAATAAATGCCATAGCATTTTACTGGACTTTCAGCTGGTGGGACGAGCCCAAAATGAATTTATGAATTAACTAAAGTGGGCTGTGTCATGGCAATAATTGTTATATTTCTTCTGTTGCTTTTAATTTTGTTATTACACTTTTCAAATGGGAATTATAATAGGAAAGAGGAGTGGAATTATGTAGAAATATATACAGAAAGGGAGTAGGTGAGAAGAAATTCTTAAAAATGAAGAATCGAATAGTTTGCTGTTAAAAAGTCTCTTAATGATTGAAGACTTTCTTCAAATCACAGGATTGGAGGCAGCCAAATCAACTATTTCGTTTAACTCACTTGCTCTTGAAGTAGAATCTCAATATATTTCACACTTGCCAAATGTTTTGCCAAGCTTTCATGATAATCACAAAAGTAGACAGTTCAATTTATTTAATAGATTCGTTTACTTAAAGAAGTGTAGCTAAAATAAAAAAGTTTGTTAGAGAGGAATCATCTTTCAATGTTAAATAATTATCTGTTAAAACTATTTCCTTGAAGTGAAAAATGATTGACTTCAGGCATCTGGGCAGTCTTGGTGGTTAAAAAATTAAGATGATGGCTCCAGGACCATCTTTATGCGCCATAAAACGGGGTGGGATTTTGATTGTGTAATTGCAGTTATTAACTTGACTTTTTAGATTTCCCTGTGGAACCTCCCTGTACCAAACTCCTTGTTCACTAAGTGTTGCTTCCATATGAAAATAAATCCAGATAGAAGATGGAGATGATTGTCTGTACTGAAAATCAAAAACGCCTCCTAATGCATGCTTCAGATAGATTTCTGTTGTTAAGGAAAATCAAGAAAATTGACATTACAGATTTCAAAAATGACATATAGATTGGAAAAGTATTTCTTTTTCTCCCCTTTACAGGACGGACAGGTTAAAAATATATATAAAATAATACAATATATTAAACACTTTTATTAAACCAATGGTAAATCCTGTTTATGTCTAAAATTATAGTAAGTGTATCTTCTACAAAGAGCTCTGGTCAATGAGTAGGGCAACAGCAACAATGAGACATTACCTTGCACCTTTGTGTCCCTGGAGCTTTTCGGTATCATCTAATTGACCAGTGAACTAGATGGATTACTCTATTGAATCAGAAGACAGCTTTGCAGAGCTGTTTTGAATGCTATCCTTGAAAAGTGGGCCAATATCCTCTTTTTTTATATATAAAAAAGACGGCTTTTGAAGCAGTCTTATGCAAAGCATTTATTTTACCTCTAGAATCCCAAAAATTGGGAAGCAAAACCAGTTTAGCACTCTATTCTAAAATGTTTAATGTTGTAAGCTGCTTAGAGTTACTTCAAGGTGAGATAGGCAGCAAATAAATGAATAATGTAAACATAAACTAGAAGCCTGAGACATGCCATCGCTATTGCTTTAGATGAAGGTCAGTCTTCTGTCCAAAATGATGTCAACATAGTAAGCTTCTAGAACGTTCCTTTTTAAAAAAAAATATACTTAGATCCCTTTGAGTCTATCAGGCCTTGTTCTGTTCTTTTTCTTTAATCTACTATTGGTGCAACTTGGTTAAAAGCAGTCCACACAAAAAAATGCCACTTTGCAAATGGTATAGCCATTTGAGAAAGCAATCAAGATTTATAAAGAAAGGAAAAAGAAAATCCCTAACACTTATAGTCATGTCAGTGGCATCACAATACAATGACTTGGTGTATGAAATGTCATCAGCAGGAAGCTTTTCTGTTGTTGAGCTTAATTAATTCTGCTGATGGACTCCATGACTCCCTTTTTGTGTTGCATTTGATAAGCTATTTGCACATTTGTGTAAAATCCCCATTTTTTTTAGATAATAGAAATTGAGTTTACACTTTCCTAATTAAAATAAATAAATACTCCAGATAAGGGGGGATAGCTTTTTGTGCTAATTGGCTTTGGGGTTGGAAGTTTTTTCTTCTGAGCTTTGTTAGATCCCAATTAAGACTGGAAGGTAAGGGATGCTAGGATCTGATAGCAAGAAGAAATAACAGAGAACTTCCCTGTGTGCCCTACTCTAAGGAGGCAGCTAAAGGAATGTAAATAATACAACTGGTCATTAACAGATCTGTTTTGTACTTAAGCTGAAACAGCTGGGAGTGATTTCTGAATCTTGGCAGAATGCTTCATATGTGCTAAAGTGGTGATGTAGATACCACATCGACTATGTGAGAAAAATCTGGAGTGGCACATGCTGTATTGAGGGTAAAGTTCTAATACCACAATCTAAAATACTATCTTCATCTTTAGGAGGGCCATTGAAATTGTGGAGTCAGATGTGAGGACCCAAGCAATACTTAAACAAATGCCTGCCTGTAAGTAGATTTTTCTCATTCTCTACTTTATGCAGATCATATACTTTTATGCAAAGTAAAAGAAAGATTCTGGAAAAGATAAGCAACGAATTAGCGAACACCTAGAAGTAAACGAAGTAATAGCCAAAAGCCAACATGGGTTTGTCAAAAACAGATCATGCCAGACTAATCTTATTGCATTCTTTGACAAAGTGACAAAATTAGTGGACCAGATGATTGCCGTCCATACGGCAATAGTAAGGCATTTGATAAGGTAGACCATAACCTACTACTAGATAAAGTAGAAGAATGTGGATTGGGCAGC